GCTAGGTATTTACCCCCGATATTTACCCAAAGGAGCTGAAAACTCATGTCCACAGAGAAACCTGCACAGGGATGTTTATTGCGACGTTATTCGCGATCGCCAAAATGTGGACGCGACCAAGGTATCTTTTACAAGTAAGTGGCTAAATAAATCACGATATTTCAGTGGAATAATATTTGTTCACAGAAATATTATTCACAATATTCCAATGGAATATTATCCAGTGCTATAAAGAAATGAGATATCAAGCTGTGATAATATATGGAGAAAATGTAAAGGCATATTATTAAGTGAAAGAAGCCAATCCAAAAAGGCTACATACTGTGATTCCAACTATATATTAATAACACTCTGGAAAAGGCAGAACTATGAAGACAGTAAAAAGATCCATCATTGAGGGAGAATGCAGGGTTGACTTGGCAGAGCACAGAGGATTTTTAGGGCAGTGAAGCTACTCTGTATGATGCTATAATGGTGAATACATGTCATTATGCATTTGTCCAAACCCATAGAGTGCAAACACCAAGAGTGAACCATAACATAAACTGTGGACTTAGTTTATGTCAGTGTAGGTTCATCAACTGTGACAAATGTACCGCTCTGGTGGAGGATCCTGATAAAGTGGAAGCCATGCGCATGTAAGGACAGGGAATATGTGAAAACCTTTGTGCTTTCCATTCAATTTTGCTGTAAACCTAAAACTGCTTTCAGTTTAGTTCAGTCACTCAGTCGTGTCTGACTCTGCGACCCCATGGACTGCAGCGCGCCAGGCCTCCCTGTCGATCACCAACTCCCAGAGTTTACTCAAACTCATGCCCATTGAGTTGGTGATGCCATCCAACCATCTCATCCTCTGTCATCCCCTTCTCCTCCAGCCTTCAATCTTTACCAGCATCAGGGTCTTTTCAAATAAGTCATCTCTTCACATCAGGTGGCCAAAGTAGTTGAGTTTCAGCTTCAACATCAGTCCTTCCAATGAATATTCAGGACTTCCTTTAGGATGGACTGGTTTGATCTCCTTGCAGTCTAAGGGACTCTCAAGAGTCTTCTCCAACAACTGCTTTAACTGACCTAAAACTGGTTACCTGTTTATTTAATATGTGTTAGAAAGAAATAGTGTATTAAGTTCATTGCTTATATTACTGTTATAGAAAATGAATGTATGTATGTGAAAGTCACTCAGTCGTGTCCGACTCTTTGCCACCCCATGGACTCCAGGCCAGAATACTGGAGTGGGTAGCCTTTCCCTTCTCCAGGGGATCTTTCCAACCCAGGGATCAAACCCAGGTCTCCCTCATTGCAGGAAGATTCTTTACCAGCTGAGCTACCAGGGAAGCCCCCTATAGCAAAGGTTAGATTCAAATTTTAAGAGTGAGTTCATTTAAAGGAAAATATTAAGCAAATAATAACAGAGGTGGTGTGAAGATATGACAAAGCTTGTGAATTACCTACTCAGATGACAGTACTATGAGAAACACTGGTTTAAATCTTTGTAGTTTGTAATGAGGATATGGTGAAATATTGTGAAAGGACTTTGTAATAATAGACAAAGCACTAAAGCTGTGGTTTTTGTACCTCACTCCTTGAAAGTTGCCACTACTGTAGCCTACCAGACTGAGTCTTGGCCTGTTACTGGGTTCTAATAGATACAAGGTGCTTAACCAAGGACATTAAGTGACCCTGTGCAGTTGAAAGAAAACTATGTATAATGAAATCTGTAAGTCCCCTATTTTTGGCTTAGTTTTCCTTGTTATTATATACATCAAATTCTAAGATGAATTCCCAAATTATCAGGGACAAGCATTTAGGAATTTTATAGTGATAACAGATCCATTCTCTGCTTAGGACATATTCAAAGTACAGTTTTTCAGCTTCATATAGTGGAAATGTTTGCATCCATTAAATATGATGAAGGACACATATTCATTGACATATAAGGACATTTGTATTACATGAGAAAGACAGGGTTCTGAAGAAGTAGAATAGGACTTATTTATATGCAAAAGAGAAGGAAACATTTCTGAGAGAATTGACCCTGGGTGATGGATTGGGTTCATTTGTTTTACTTTTAGCTTATCTGTCACTTCTCATTTTTTCTTTTTTCAAACTGAAGTGTAGTTGATTTACAATGTTATGTTAGTTTCTGTTGCCATTTTTCTATGATGGACTAGATTTCAAACTCAAGGAATACTTAGTAAACTTTGAAGACACGCTTATGCAAAAGATACAGTCATTCTGTGATAGTCAGATGCCACGTTCCCAACACCATCAGACATGATTTGTGTGTGTTGTGATGTGCCAGTTTCAGGAATAACACGTTGTAGCTGGACCCAACAGTAGGAGGAAAGGCAGATGAAGCGATAGATATAAGAGGACCTTATAGAGTGTAAGGCCCTGTGTGAGGGAAAGGGACTTTGAGCCTGAATCAGCAGAGCGAAGGACAGCACAGACTCTGAGCAGTGGGGCTCTTTGGTGCTGATAGACGGTGAACCTGGGAGGCTTTGTCACCATCGCACTGAATTCCATCCCAGCTGGTTTCAGGACTGCTCCAGAGAAGCGTTGCTTCTCACAGGACCGCCTTGCCTTCCTTAGGTTTTAGGATGAACTTTTTGTGAAAACGTCACAGAAGCATCTTTGATTTGTGGTTTGGGTGGGTATACTAGCTTCCTCACTCTCTCTGCTGGTTGTTTTTGCAGAACCACATCTTACTTAATTCTCTGGTTGTGCTTTTCAACAGCACAGTCTACATTCTGGTTGTCAGAGGTTATAAATCCTCGGAGCTGGAAAATGCTTTGAGAGGCATTTCATAAGCGAGGTTCCTTTTTTTCCAGTGATTTTTAAAGCTCTGAGTATTAGATAACAATATATGCATTCATATTTGCATAAATAAAGGGTTGGGAAGATACTCACTGTAAGCTGACAGTATCGATTTCTGTTGAGTGGGGATGCTAGGGGACTTTATTTGTATACCTCAAGCATTGTTTTAAAAAATGATTTGCATATGACTTGTATCACCTATACTCTATATACATAAAAATTGATAAAGCAAAATATAAAGCAAGACTTCTATATTTCCAGCTAGACCCTGAAAAATTTACAAGCATGCAGTAAAGTAGTAGAGGAAAAAGTAAGCTCAGATTTGAATTAGGACTTCCCAGATGGAGCTCATGGTAAAGAATCCACCTGCTGGTGCAGGAGATGTGGGTTCGATCCCTGGGTCGGGAAGATCCCCTGGAGGAGAAAATGGCAACCCACTCCAGTATTCTTGCCTGGAGAATCCCATGGACAGAGGAGCTTGACAGGGTACAGCCCCTGGGGTTTCAAAAATTGGACTCAACCGAGTACAGACACATGCGATCTAGAGATGTAATAAAATGTCCAAATAGTGACACTGGCAGTGTGGCTGAGAACTGGGACACGCTCACCTGTGAAAGTCTGTCGCCCTCTGAAGCATCCTTACCCCACTGCAGATAGCCGACATCACTGCGGGTCAGGACCCCGTGTAATATTTCCTGAGACTTTCCTTTCTGACAGCCGTTAAAGACGTGTGGACTTGCTCTTCCAGTTAGAATCAGGTTCAGAACAGCCTAGGTGACATGTTTTACAAATGTGTGTAAAGATAACCTTGATACAGGGACTTAATTTTTTTTTATTTTAATAGTCACAAAGATGACCACTTTTAGTGAAAAGAATGAAATCCCACAGTATATAATTCTGGAAAAACATATGGTATAAATGTTTGGTAGAGTTAAAATAGGACTTTATTAATTTTTTTCTTGAGCCACGCCCCATAACTCCCCATGGGCCCTTAATATTTTCTTAAACTTTGGTTTCTATAATTGTGATTTAAGATGCATGAAACTAAGATATTTTTATAGTGCCTTCCTTTCAGTTATGAGGGATTCCTGGGGGGCATGGTCTTGTCAAGATATTTTCTAACATTTCTAGACTCTCAGGAGTGGCAGACTCTCAGAGGTAAATTAGAAAGGACAGTAATGGAAAGTGGAAAAGTTAAAAATAAAAAGGGGGGGACATCTTAGTATTTCAAAGATAATTTTATCACCCTTCACTTATGGAGAAAATATACTTAATTGAAAAAATAAAAGCCTTATTCAGAGTCTACAGTAAAAAGGTAGTCCCGCAACCCACCTGCCTGCACAGGAAACCTCCAGCGTTTGGTTGCAGCAGGTGAGGGGTGGAGACGTCCAGTTCCTTCTGGAGCCTGCGGAACGGGAGGAACCATCAGCACTCAGGGACCGTCACTGCTTCCAGGACCCACAGCCTTCCCCGCCTTCACCCCCAGCACCGGGCAGCTCTAACATGAGCTCGTCTGGTCACTGTCCTTCCCATGTGCCCGCTGTGTCTCCATCTGTCCCCTGGAAAGCTTCTAGGACTGGGGCCGTGGAGATGATTGGGGACGTTCTGATGCCACTGGGGGCAGCCAGTGAGAAGCGATGAGGGAGAAGGAAGAAGTGATGGACCTCACAGGTGACAGTCCTTCAGTGTGGGCTCTGTAGGGATGCTGGACTCAGCAGAGAAACTGTTTGCTCTGAGTCCCAGGGGATGCTTGGCTTAGGGTGGTGACTTTTGACCACTCCAGAGAGTGCTGGCCCAAGGCAGAGCTGAGCAGACTGTTTAAGGGGAAAACACCAGCTTGGCATTAAGCCCATTTCTTGGTTGCAGTTTCCACTGCTTCATCAGGGACCAGGGTTCAGGATTCTATCCGGGGCAATGTAATACCACGGTGGAAAGTGGCTTCAGCTGTAACCCAGAGGGAGATGCTGAGTATGTGAGCTGTATGTGTTCTTGGATGAACCTAGTCACAGGGTTGGAAGGTCAGGCGCTTCTGTGAATCAGACCTAAAGACGTGGGTGAAGCATCAGATATAATTCAGGGCAGTGTTTCCTAAAGTATGGCTTGATGTTAGTTGATATAGATGTGAGCATTTAAAGAGTTCCACATTTATGTGTTTAATACATTTTTTGTTTAGCACAGCAAATAAATGATTTAGATCATATATGTTAATATATTAATATTTAAAGGATATTAAATTTAAGAAGAGTATATTTAAATGCATATTGATTTTGAATTTTTCTTCTTTTATTTTTTTGTCTGTGCCATGGAGCATGTGGGATCTTAGTTCTCTCATCAGAGATAGAACACTTGCCCCGTGCAGTGGAATCACAGTCTTAACCACTGGACTGCCAGGGAAATCCCAAATGTGTGTTGATTTAAGGAAATTGTTAAGCAAATAATAATATATCATAAAAGTATGATATGCAAATGACAAGTTTCAGGAACACTGCTTCGTTTGAAATTTTTCGTTTCTGGAAGCCCTGTATTTCTCTCTTTGATTTGCAAAAGCTTATGCTTTTTTCAGGGTCCAGAAGAAGGTCTGCTTCTTGCAAGACGCCTTCCTTGACTGCGCTATCTGTTGGGGCCGCTTCCTCCTCTGGCATCCCTTAAGAGGCATTGTCTTTGCATGTCATCTGACGTACCAAGTACCATCTGGGACTTTCCCAGTCTCTGTATGGGCATATCTGGTTTTTGCCAAACTAGAGCCTGTGAGGGGATCAGGGCCATATCCTGTTTTATTTGTATATATCCCACAGTGCCAAACAGTGCTTTGCATTTAATGGGGACGAAATAAATATTTGTGGGTATATATTTTATTGTATATAGAAATCATGAATTACTTTCATTTATGAAAGTTGTACAAATAAGCCTGAGTGATATCTGCCAATATTTATAACCACAAGAAGGAACCTCCCACAGTGCTAGAAAAGGAGATTCGCACTTTTCTGATGACATCCACTCTCCCATGAATGTGGCCAAACCCACTGCAGAAAAGGATGCAGCAACAGAAGAGTGTCTACTAGAAAAAAAACCACTCTCATGTTTCCATAAGGCGCAAAAAGACTTTGCAACACAGGAGAACGTTGTTCGTGTGACCCCAGAGCTATGGGGAATACCTATGCAAATATTTGTAGCATTTACCTTTCAAATGTTCTGGAGAAGATCAGGCTGTAAAGGAACAAGATGACGCCATGGCTTCCTTCTCCTTTGAACTGTTTGGGAAAAAAAGGAAAAACAGGTTTGCCTAAATGCAATGCATCTCTGTGTGCCTATGGGCACAAATTCCAGGATTTACAGCCTGAGGGATTTTTTTCTAGCTGATGAAAGGACAGTGGAAGCTCACTCTGCTTCCCTAGGTCATCTCCACTCTGAAATGCATCCTCTCGCCTTGCTTCAGGCCTGCCAGTGGCACCGGCATTCTCTTAGTTTTCAACCCATCTTTCTTTCCTCCACTTGTATCACGTGACTCTCTTTGACTCATGGCTAAGACGTGGTGTATTTTCCCTCTCCATTTTTCCAGCATCCATCCTAGCCAAGCCCTTCAGAGTGGCTCTGGATGGCCTTTACCTAGCCTCCCTCAGTCACTGCATTCCTCCTCATTACCCTGTTAAACTCAGGGAGAGCAGAGACGTTTGCTAGAAATAGTTTTGGAGTTACAGAAACCCGAGTTCAAAGCCAGTTCTATTATACTAACTCCAGCTCATTTCTTTGCATTTCAGTATCATCTGTAATTGCAGATATAAATACATTTTCCCTAGGATTGTTGCAAAAGTTGAAGGAAATAATGTATAGTACCTAACTTGGTTTTGCTTTTTTTCTTTTTTTGGTCATTGTTTAGTCACTCAGTGACATCCTGCTCTTTGTGACCCCATGGACTGTGGCATGCCAGGATTCCCTATCCTTCACTATCTCCCAGAGTTTGCTCAAACTCATGTCCAATGAGTCAGTGATGCTATCCAACCATCTCATCCTCTGTTGTCCCCTTCTCCTGCCTTCAGTCTTGCCCAGCATTAGAGTCTTTTCCAATGAATCAGGTGGCATCAGGTGGCCAAACTTTGGAGCTTCAATTTCAGCATCAGTCCTTCCAATGAATATTCAGGACTGATTTCCTTTAGGATTGACTGTTTGGGTCTCTGTGCAGTCCAAGGGACTCTCAAGAGTCTTCTCCAACACCACAGTTCAAAAGTATCAATTCTTTGGTGCTCAGCTTTGATTATAGTCCCAACTGTCACATCCATACATGACCACTGGAAAAACTGTAGCTTGGACTAGATGGACTGTTTCTGCTTTTTAACACCACAGATGGAATGTCTCTTCTTTTTAATATGCTGTCTAGGTTGATTATAGTTTTTCTTCCAAGGAGCAAGTGTCTTTTGATTTCATGGCTGCAGTCACCATCTGCAGTGATTTTGGAGACCAAGAAAATAAAGTCTCTCACTGTTTCCATTGTTTCCCCATCTATTTGCCATGAAATGATGACTGGATGCCATGATATTTGTTTTTTGAATGTTGAGTTTAAAGCCAGTTTTTTCACTCTTCTCTTTCATCTTCATCAAGAGTCTCTTTAGTTCTTTGTTGCTTTCTGCCATAAGGGTAGTGTCACCTGCATATCTGAGGTTATTGATATTTCTCCTGATAATCCTGATTCCAGCTTGTGCTTCATCCAGCCTGGCATTTCACATGATATACTCTGTGTATAAGTTAAATTAGCAGGGTGACAATATACAGCCCTGACGTACTCCTTTCTCAGTTTTGAACTAGTCCACTGTTCCATGTCCAGTTCTAACTGTACCTTCTTGACCTGCATACAGATTTCTCAGGAGGCAGGTAAGGTGATCTGGTATTCCTATCTCCCTAAGAATTTTCCACAGCTTGTGGCAATCCACACAGTCAAGGTTTTAGCATAGCTAATGAAGCAGAAGTAGATGTTTTTCTACATTTCTCATGGTTTTTCTATGATCCAACAGATGTTGACAATTTGATCTCTGGTTCCTCTGCCTTTTCTAAATCCAGCTTGAACATCTGGAAGTTCTCAGTTCATGTACGGTTGAAGGCTAGCTTGGAGGATGTTGAGCACTACCTTGCTAACGTGTGAGATGAGTGCAACTGTGCAGCAGTTTGAACATTCTTTGGCATTGTCCTTCTTTGGGATTGGAATGAAAACTGACCTTTCCCAGCCCTTTGGTCACTGCCGAGTTTTCCAAATTTGCTGGCATATTGAGTGTAGCGCTTTAACAGAATCTTCTTTTAAGATTTGAAATAGCCCAGCTGGAATTCAATCACCTCCACTAGCTTTGTTTGTAGTGATGCTTCCTAAGGCCCAGTTGACTTTGCACTCTAGGATATCTGACTCTAGGTGAGTGATCACACCATTGTGATTATCTGCGTCATTAAGATCTTTTTTGGATAGTTCTTCTGTGTATTCTTGCCACCTCTTCTTAATATCTTCTGCTTCTGTTAGGTCCATACCATTTCTGTCCTTTATTGAGCCCATTCTTGCATGAAGCATTCCCTTGGTGTATCTAATTCTCTTGAAGAGATCTCTAGTCTTTCCCATTCTGTTGTTTCCCTCTATTTTTTTGCATTGCTCACCTTGGTTCTTAGAACATGCTATTAATAGGACCACAGAAAAATTACTGTCTGCCGCTCTCTAAGGGACTCCTCCCTGTCCCTCTTCTTGGCCAGGGTACTTTTCTGCTCTGAACTTTCCGAAGGTGCCCTGTGAGCTCCAGGATGTGACCCACCCACATCCAGGGCCTCCTGCTGGCTGGCCTTCTCTTGGCCTTGTGTCAGTACTCTACCTGCTGAGGAGAAGAAGCTCCTTGGCTGGCTTTCAAAGTGCCCAGGGTAAAAGCCTTTTCTTTAAAGGCATAGTGTCGGGAAGGTGTCTGCGAAAGTGCATATGCTTTCCCTTTTGTGAGTTAATCTGTGCTTCACTGTCTGTGTGCTAACAAGGGCTGGCATCTCATGCAGGAGAACCAATTTCAGTGCCAGCGGAGCTGGATGGGAACCCAAACGCTGTACCGCAGGGCGTGGGAGAAAAGGGGAGAGGTGGAGCCTGAGGCACAGGACAGCACCCTTGGGTCAGTTTCCTGCTGCTGTCTTAACAGATGACCGGCTTAAAATAATGGGAATCCATCATCTCAGGGCTCTCGAGGCTAGCTGTCCAGCCCTGCTATCTCTGGACTCGACTCTGACTGCTGGTCAGCCCACGTTCCTTCTGGAGTCTTTATGGGAAATGGTGTCTCCTAGCGTTTTGCAGCTTCTAGTAGCAGTCTTAATCCCTTGGCTTGTGACCCCACATTGCATAGCTTCTTCTCTTCTGCCTCTCTCATTACATCCTTAATTTCTGACTCTCCTGTCATGCTCTTTCTGTTTTAAAGCCATTGTGATTAATCAGATCCACCAGAGAAATTCAGAATAATTTTCCCATCTGAGACCTTAATCTCATCTGCAGTTCCTTTTGACCAGTTAGGTAGCATCATTCAGTCTGTCACGACTTGTTTAATGGGAGTCATTGCTCCCTATATCAGCTAATGGAGGGCATGCTAGATAGAATGTAGGTCTAGTGCAGCCAGATTTTCTGATTTGGCCAGAAGGATCTAAACCGTTAGGTTTTGACATGGAATTTTCTGATTCTTTTTGAAGTTGACTGACTCAAATTTTTAAAAATACAACACCAGGTGAATTGACACTGCCCATCTTATGTGGTAGATGTGTGAGTTTCCTAGAACTGCCCTACAAGCGGCCAGAAATTCGAAAGGCTTGAAACACCAGAAGTTTGTACTTTCACAGTTCCGGAAGCTAGAAGTCTGAAATCAAGGTGTCAGAGGAGGGCCATGCTCTCTCTGAAGGCCCCAGAGGAGGAACCTTCCTGGGATCTTCCTAGCTTCTTGTGGCTGCTGGCAGTCCTGGCATCCTTGGTTTGGAAGATGTATCACTCCAGTCTCCATTATTGCATGATGTTTTCCCTGCATGTGTCAGGGTTTATGACCAAATTTCTCTTTTCTTATAAAGATAGGACTCATTGGATTGAGACCCACCCTCATCCAGCATGACCTGATGTTAACTTGGTGACATCTGCAAAGACCCTCTATCCAAGTAAGAACACATTCGCAGCTGCTGGGGCACACACACTTTTTGGCAGTGGCGGGGGTGTGGGGAGGTGATGCCGCCCATAATAACAGTAGGCCTGCTCCTACATGGAGCCCTTAATTCTCCAGCTGTGTTCCCTGCCTCAAGATAGGCACAGAGATGCTTTTTTTTTTAAATGTTTTTTAAAATTAATTTTTATTGGTGTATAGTTGCTTTACAAGGTTGCACTAAGTTTCTAGCGTGCAGCAAGAGGAATCGGCCGTACATATACGTATATGCCCTCCCTTTTGGATATCCTCCCCGTTCAGCTCACCAAAGAGCGCTGAGCGGAGGTCCCTGGGCCCCACAGCACGTCCTCATTGGTCGTCTATTCAGTCCATCATAGCAGAGTGTTCATGTGTCATCCCAATCTCCCACTCCTCGCCCCCTCCAGAGCTGTTGTTCTTTGGTAGTAATGACATTGGGTGGAGGTCTGGATGGAGGCTGATCACAGAGGGAGCCCCTGGTCTGGGAGTGCCCTTGAGAGCAGTGTCTATGCAGCAAGATCCCCCATGATCCAGGAAATGGTGCTGGCCCTTCCCTAGCGTGGCTACGGTCGTGGTCAGCTTGAGTCTGCTTGACACAGGTAACTCTTGTGCGGAACCCACCCGCGCCGTGCGGTCTGATTCCACTTCTGTTTATTACTTATTCCAGCTCAACCCCTAGCCTTTGAGGGGAAAGCCTCTATATAGCTCTCGCTCTGATTTCCCAGCTGTCAGCGCTGGCCTCGCTTAAGAAACCCTTGCAGATGTGGAAGACCTTATTGAGTCAGACTCTCTCAGGGCTGAGTTGAGGAGATGGAAGGTAGAGAGGGAAGGGTTGCCTCTGTTGGCCAGGAGAGTAATTTCGTACACGTTCCTCTCTGTGTAGCCCCCTTAAACATCTCCCTCTGCAACGGAGGGTCCCTAAGCAGGCTTCTAGCCTAACATTTCATGTCAGAGAGTTTAAAATCTATCGCACAGCTTTGATTGCTTTCATATTGCTGTTGGAACAAATTACCATAAATCTGTAGCTTCAACAATACAGACTTATTTTATTATCTTATAGTTCTGGAGGTCAGAAGTCTGAAATGGGACTTACTGGTCTAAAATTGAGAGAGCAGCGGCTCTAGTAGAAACTAACACGACATTGTAAAGAAACTATGTGTGTGCGTGTGTGTCCTCGGTCGTGTCTGACTCTTTGCGACCCGTCCAGGCTACATGTCCATGGGATTTCCCAGGGAAGAATACTGGAGTGGGTTGCCCTTTCCTCCTCCAGTGAGTCTTCTGACCCAAGGATAGCACCCACGTCTCCTGCATTGGCAGGAAGCTTCTTTTCTACTGCACCACCTGGGAAGCCCAAAACAACTATACCCAAGTGAAGAAAAAAAAAAAAAAAAGTCATCAGCCCTGTATTCCTTCTGGAGCCTCTAGAGGAGAATCTGTTTCCTTGCCCTTTCTTGCAGCAGCCTGTCCACATTCCTTGGTTCATGACCTCCAGTTTCAAAGCAGCAAGTTTCATATCACACCACGCTTCCCCTCTCTTCTGCCTTCCTCATCCACATATAAGGGCCCTTGTAATTACACTGGACCCACCCATGTAATCCAGGATAATCTCCCTATTTTAAAGTTAGCTGATGAGCAACCTTAACTCCCCTTTACCATGTAATGAAGCGGTCAGGGGTTCCAGGTGGTAGGGTATAGACATCTTTCAGGAGACGATTCTTCTGCCTACCACATAGACCCAAGAGCTGATGCAGGAGGTAGGTCTGGGGTAACTAGTTTATCCTAAACTAGTTTATTAAACTAAATAAACTAGTTTATTTATTGCTAGTGTGTTTGTGAGAACTCATGCTCAAGTTTTCCATCCCTGTGACCTTTGAAAGGCATGGAGCTCTGAGCTTCATGAATCACATTTCCTCTTTACATACAAGCCACATACACATGGATTTATAGTTACCCTGCTACATTGTAAGGTTCTGATTCTTTGGAAAACCAGCTTTCCTTTCTTTCTCTGCAGAGGAATCTTGCAAAAGCACCTTCCATTTTCACCTATCACTCTCCTGCTTTGTGTCCTGCCTACCCAGGGGGTGGGGAAGATTCATTGCAGGGGAGGGCATTGTGTAGAAGGGGCTGTTAGAAGAAGGGGGGGGGCACGTTTTGCAGATGGAAAGTCATTTTTTTGAGCCAATGTGAATGGTCATTTTGGCAATTTAGGCTACCATTTTTATGTTTTATCCCTCAGAGGAGGCAAGACTGCTGTAAAATTTTCTCTTCCCATAAAAGCCATCTTGCTGTATATGCCCTCTATAGTATTATTCTCTGGGTTTGATTAGTCAAGGAGAAAGAGGCATTTGTGAGCAGGCCTGTGTGTGATCTGGCCTCTCTCTAGATTGCGGGGAGGGAGAGACGGGCTTCTCTTTCTCTCATTCCGCCCTCTCTTAGTCCTCAAAATGACCTGGTTTTCTTAACAAGCATCATTAGAAATATACTTTATAAAAGGAAGAAAATTCCTGTAAGATCAGTTCAACATAAAGGAATTACGATGCTTAAGCACTTACACATTGTAAATGATCACAGATGAATTTCTCAGTGGCTTCTTTGTCTGAAAGTTCAAACAGCTGGAGCTATAAGTCAGAAATAGAAGATAAAAATGAAAAGGAAGATGAAAGTCACATCTAGAAGATGTCAACGCACTGTTATTACCTCAAGGGAGTTCTTTGTTTCATTGCAAAGTCACAGTTCTAAGAACTGACGTGTTATCTCACCTAAGGTCATGTAAAGCATACATGGTAAAATCGGATGGCCACCGGCCTCATGTTTGCATTCTTCTGTTTTAAACTAATATGGTATCTTGAGCTGGAAAACCATAAACACATCTTTTTTTTTTCCCTAATAGGTAGAATTTAGCCAAGTTTAGAAGATTAGTTATGAAAGTATAGTTTATGATCATTTCAGGCATGAGATTTTCTTTTTAAAAATGTTTTTGTTGTAGTTAATATATGGTATTATATAAATTACAAGTGTACTATCTAGTGATTCACAATTTTTAATGGTAATATTTCATTTATAGTTATTATAAAATATTGACTATAGTCCCCATGTTGTATGGGGAATATACAACATAGCTTATTTTACACATAATAGTCTTCACCTCTTAACTCCCAAACCCTACGTTGCCCCTCCGTGCTTCCCTTTCCACTGATAACCACTGCTTTGCTCTCTGTGTTCTGTGAATCTGCTGCTTTTCTGTTAGGTAGGGAATGTAGTTTTTTTTATTTTTGATGTGGACTGTTTTAAAGTCTTTATTGAATTTGTTGTTAATACTGTTTATGTTTTGGTTCTTTGGCCATGAGGCATGTGGGAATCTTAGCTCCTACACCTCCTGCATTGGAAGGGCAAGTCTTAACCTCTGGACCACCCGGGAAGGCCCTGGAATATTCTTGATCATGGTAAATTTTGGAAGGAGAAACTCACAGCAGGCATCTCTGTCTTGGCTGCTTGGGCTCTGCATGGCCTTGATCCTTGCCTCTTTGGCCACATCAGATGCTTACATTGTGGAGGTCCACCCCAGAGCAGCCACGGGCTTCCAACTCCATTGCGGTGGGGAGTCTGGTCCTCACCCAGGCTCTGTCACCCTTACCTGGCGGGATGGGCAGGAGGGCACTCACCCGTTCAGAGAAGCCGTCCCCAGAGTAGCTAGGCGTCGGGACGAAGTAAGTGTCCTCGGTAATGAGGCAGAGGGTGACCTTCTGAGCTGCTCCTGCAGCCCACAGGATGCCCGCGAGCGCCGCCACCAGCGTGCGGTCCTGATGGTGCTTGCTTATCCTGCACAAGCTTCAGCGCAGGAGGAGGGGAGGAGCACATGGCAAAGAGCATCAGCTAGCTGAGGGCCCGGGCCTCTGCTTTCAGGAGCCCTTCTGAGTACAGGACGGCTCTGTTTGGCACCTCGTCAGCCTGCACTCTGAGAATGTCGTGGGGTGGGGGGTGGGGGGTCTCGTCCTCTCTGCCCCCATGGGACGGGCATCGTCATCCCAGCACACTATTCCTCTTGGTTCTCCACCCTGTGCATTGTGGTCCCCACCGAACCCCCGCACTGTCCTCCCTCCTGAACTCTAGTCAGTCTCCATCCAAACTCTCTAACCCCGTGACACAGGCCCTTCCCAAGCGCAACCCCGAACAGTCCTCCCAGGTTTATCTCCCAGACTTCCATTTTGCAAACCCTCTGCCCCAGATGGACCAGTCCCCTGGATGTTGTTTCCGTGTTCCACCTCTATGCTTTTTCTCATGCACTCATCTGCCTTTCATATGCATGTCCTGTCTGTGCTTTCTGCCTGATCACATCCTACGTGTCACTTGAGGCCGCCTCTATGGGGCTGCAAAGAGTCGGACACAACTGAAGCGACTTAGCAGCAGCAGGTTGCCCTTAGTGACGTGTAATTTACTCTCATCTGGCACTCACTGGGTCCAGCACTGTCCTAAGCACCTAACACATTTAATCCTTTCAACGAGCTGTGAGGCGGGCACTGTTATTTCTCCTGTTTTAGAGGTGAGGAAAGGAAGACGGGGAGCTTGAGCAGTCTGCCCCTCGTCTTCCGCCTTCACAGCCACACAGCAGTGACTTGAATGCAGGCAGTGTGCCTCCTGACTTAACCATCAGATTATCCTTAACCACGAGCCCTGTCAAGTAATCCCAGCGGGTCCGACTTCCCTGGAAATGAGAGCCACGCTTTACATCAGAGGCCTGTGCTATGCTCACTTTCTAAATATTTAACATTGACAGCTGTGGTCCTAGTGAAGAAACACATGCTAGAGGTTAGTGAATGAACTCAGCCATGATTTATAAAACCCACCTAGCTCTATGATGATAGAGAAATGAGTAACAAGAGCCTCATACTCCAAAACCCCAGTGCAAGGTAGAATGAGAATAAAACAAAGTGCTGGGAAACTGCAGAGGACGGAGAAAGAACTTGTGCCTGGGAACATTCAAGAAGGCTTCATGGGGATGGTGGATAATAGCAGTTATTCATTACCATTGGCTTAAATTCCCTTAATAAAGCACCTGCATAAAGAATTCCCACCTTTGGCTCTGCTTCTAAGGAACCTGGCAATTCATGTTCTTAGGATAGATGAGATATTCAGTTCCTGCTTTGGGTGATAACTTATCCTGCTCGAGGGTAGGTAGGTGCCTTTTAATTATTTCGGTTTCTCCTAATAGCAATCATATAGCCTTGCGCATGATAGAGGCTTGTTAACATCTAAGAACAAAATCATTTGAACTGAATTTTTAACAAAAACAGGCAGCCACCACACTGTGCGTTGTCAGCCTGATTAAATGGGAGGGTGAACTCTCCATTTATGAGGCTTTTCATCGCCCCTTTTGTCCTCTCTCTGGAATTGTTAGGTTGGGGCTTCCCATCAAATGTTGTCAGTTGAGCCCACCTGGAGACCTGGCACTTCATTTTACCTGTCAGGGTGGTCTGCGGTGGAGCATAAAAACTCTCAGCATCATTCCTGCAGCTGAACATTGAGGGGGACTCTGGGAGATCCCTCCCCAGTCGTGAAATCCAGCCCCTCTGGGAGAACCAGGGCCATTTCTGTCTTTTTTTACTTTTTAAGATTTTTTTTTTTAATATGGACTGTTTTTAAAAAGTCTTTATTGAATTTGTTACAATATTGCCCCTGTTTTATGTTATGGTTTTCTGACTATGAGGCATGTGAGATCTTAGCTGTCTCTCCAGGGATCAAACCCGGATCCCCTGCATTGGAAGGCAAAGTCTTAACCACTGCACTGCCAGGCAAGTCCCCACTTTTTGCCTTCTGAGTCAAGTCTCCTTCCTGAGGCAACCCAGGGGCTTTTCCCTGGTGATTATTTAGTCCATAAAGTTTTTCATAAAATGGTTAATTCTTTTCGAGTCCTCCTCATAGGCCTCTTACCTGAGGAAGTTACAGTCTTTTCCCTTCCTTGTAAACAGCAGGTATTTAATGATGGATCCTTGTACAGCCATCTGAATGCTTCGGACACCTCCCTGAAATGGGAGTGGATGCATAGTGAGGAGCAGGGCTTTACAATGGTGCTGGAACCCTCAGGGCCCACTTTATAAAAATGAACTCTTGGAAATGGATGTCATCATTTATTCTCCTTGGCAGCCTTTTCCCTCCGGCGCACAGCCTCCCTAGGCTTAGCAAAGCGCCGCTGCACTCTACAATGCACACCTCTCCATGGACTGTGGCCGGATGCCATGGCCAGACTAGAATCTGCAGTGACTAGCTTCTCTGTGGAGCGTTACAGACCAGCACCCGGGCTGTCTGTCTTCCTCCGTCCTACCTTCACTGTGCTCCTGTCTCACATTCAACTTTGAGATTTGCAGGAAGGAAGGAACTAGTCGGCTAGCTCTTGAAATTCTGTGTGGCTAGTAATCAATGATATGAATTATTGAGGTTTTAAAACAAGTCAGAAATTCCTAGATCTCTCTCTACCTCTAAATTCTTAGCGATGCTTAGGACTTTGAAAAAAGAGCTAGGAAAACTAGAATTTGGAAGAGGGTAGGGAGGAGTTTGAGACTTTATTACATCCTTGATAGTGTGTTAGAATTTTCAACACACTAAGTCCATTATCATTTATGGTTACATTTTAAATTATAAACATGTTTCTACATTTGATTATAATGAAAACTTGCATGTATATGGAGGAGGTTGGAAGGAAACACGGGGAGCATAGGATTAAAAAAGAGATCACCCGTGCTTACCTTTCCCACTTGCAACGCAAAAGCCAGGTCAGAAAAAGGCTCATGAAACTGGAAATAGGCCTTTGTCCAGTCAGAGCTGAAGACCTGGGTGGTATTTCCAAAGAGGGTCTGGCGCAGTTTCTGAAAAAGGGGAAACAAATGGTTCAAAGGGTATTCTTCCTAGACACAGCCCTTAGCAAACAGCCCTAAGCCAGGTGGTGAAATCACGGAGGTGGGCCTGTCCCTTTCCTAGAATCAGGTTAGCATATTGCTGTTTTCCTCTGAGCATGATTGTCCAGCCCTCCGCAAAAGGTTTGCATCAGGTTCGCTTAGGACACTTTATCCTGAAGGCCCAGGGGGTCAACTCTGCACCTGCTGTCCCCATCTGAGTTCTGTCCCCGTGTCCACTGCCGGCATCTTCCCTGTTCGCTCTTACCATCCGTGATAAGGCTGCAGTTCTGTTCTCATGCCTCGTGTCCCTCCATCTATGACTCTGAAACCTCTACCTCTCCTGCCTTTGGGTCTTTCTCTCTTGCTCCGGAAGAAGGGAATGGGCAGGCCTCTATGACTGTAACCTGAGTGTGATAGTGGTGTAAATGGTATTCAACAAGCAGCCTCTGTTCTTGCCCTAGAATCTTTATGTTTTTTTTTCTGGATACTCAGCAGCATGTTGAGATTAGAGAGGGTCTTTTAGAAAATCCCAGAAAGCTTGGTACAAGCCTTTGTAAACCAAACACATGACAAAAAGGAAATGCCTTTATAATCAGAGACACAAGAATCTTTTAGTATGTGTTAGGTCCGATGTGGGGTATAGATACATAAAGAGTCTAACCTTGCAACCATGTGCAATAAAGAATGTGTGATATTCCATCAGGCAAAGTGCCAGGAGTGAAAAAACTTCTGACTGAAGCAGTCAGTGAAAGCTTCGTGGAAGAGGTGGCATTTGAACTAGGCTGGCAAATGGCATCTAGTATTTATTGAGCATTTTCTGTGCACCAGGACTGAGCTAAGTGCTTTGAGTTCATTATGTTAATTTAATTCTTTGAGAAAGGTACCATTATTATCCTCCATTTACGGGAAAGTATTTGCATAAGATCACCCAGCCAGAAGAAGCAGAGCTGGGATTCACACAGTGTAACAGCGTTGATCCACCTCCCAGCTTAACTCCTGTATGCGTCATCCTTATGACTGTTGTCATCTTTATGTGCTGGTCATTATTGACTTAATATTGCTCATTAGATTGGGCCACTCTTTGATAATTTAGAAAACATTTGAAGTGTTTATTTAAATATTTAAAAGGACCCTTTACACCATGTCCTTAATTGGGAATCAAAATCACTTGCCATAATAAAAAATAGAGAAAAGCAAACACCATATGTTAATGCATATATATATATATATATATATATATGAAACCTAGAAAAATGGTGCTGACGATCCTATTTGCAGGGCAGGAACAGAAGCGCAGATGCAGAGAATGGACTCGGGGACACAGTAGTGGAAGGAGAGGGAGGGACGAATTGAGAGAGTAGCCTTGGCATATATATACTACCATGGGTAAAATAGCTAACGGCAAGCTGCTATATAGCACCGGGCACTCAGCCCCGTGCTCTGTGATGACCTAGAGGCGTGGGATGGGGGGAGGTTTGGAGGAAGGCTCCAGATAGGGATAGATATATACACATGCATGTAGCTGATTCATGCTGTGTCACAGCAGAAACCAACACAACCGTATAAAGCAATTATAATCCAGGTAAAGATAAAAACTGTACAGAATAGTGACCAAAAGTAAATGCACACACATGTAATAGGAATAAAATGATCTTATTGAATCATGCTAGAAACCATTTTCCATGACGTCTCTGACTGAACCCTGCACTCTTTTTAATTAAAAAGGGAGATGGTGCTGGTGGTTTAGTAGCTAAGTCATGTCCGACTCTTGTACCTCTCGGACTGTAGCCCACCAGGCTCCTCTGTCCATGGGATTCTCCAGGCAAGAATACGGAGTGTGTTGCCACTTCCTTCTCCAGGGGATCTTCCTGACCCAGGAATCAAACCCAGTCTCCTCCATTGCAGGTGGATTCTTTACCAGCTGAGCTACAAAGGAAGATATGAACATGTCCTGCGCCTTAACTGGTCTTCTCCCTGGCCTGCCAGAGTGGAGAGGGGACTGAATTTCCATGATGCAACTCCTTGTTAGTCAATGTCTCTTATGCCGCAGCCCCAGACACCCCATACTCCAGCCCAGGGACACATCCCACACTCTGCAACAACCACACAATGGCCTGTCACTTGTGAAGGAGGGGAGGCTGGGCAGAGAGGAAGACCTGCAAATGCACACACCTGGTACCAGGGTATCTGGGGGCAGTGAGCAGTTCAGTGAGGCTAGAACATTGTGTGTGTGTGTGTGTGTGTGTGTGTGTATGTGTGTGTTCCAGGGTCATGGGGCAGAAAGTCAGCGGAATCTCAGACTGGAAAGTACCTTGAATCTGATTCTGGAGTGTTCTGAGCTGTTCGCACGCTCAGGCATTTGGAGCTAGTTGAAGAGTGTGGACCAATGGAACCTGGAGCACAACTGACCCAGAGCCAGAGCACCTCTTCTCAGCAGTGCCCTGAGCAAACCCTGGTTTCCAAGAAGGACACACACAGGAGAAGCATGCGTCTGGAACAGTCTTCTCAATGTCCGACCAGGGGCTGCTTCCAGGCGTCCATGCGTGTTAAGTCGCTTTATTTGTGTCCAACTCCTTGTGATCCCATGGACTGTAGCCCACCAGGTTCCTCTGTCCAAGGGATTCTCCAGGCAAGAATACTGGAGTGGATTGCCATTTCCCTCTCCAGGGGATCTTCCAGATGCAAGGATCGAACCCATGTCTCTTGCATCTCCTGCATTGGCAGGTGGATTCTTTACCACTAGTGCCACCTTTCCTGGCCGCCCCGCTCCAACCTTTGAAAGAAAATATTCTCTCGACAGAGAAAAAAGGAGTATAGCAAGGCCATCAAAGGCTGTATATCAAGAGAGTCCCTTGGACAGAGAGGAGGTCAAACCAGTCCATCCTAAAGGAAATCAACCCTGAATATTCATTGGAAGGACTGATGCTGAAGCTGAAGCTCCAGTACTGTGGCCACCTGATGTGAAGAGCTAACCCATTGGAAAAGACCCTGATGCTGGGAAAGATTGAATGCAGGAGAAGAAGGGGACCACAGAGAATGAGATGGTTGGATGGCATCACCAGTACAATGGACATGAATTGGGCAAACTCCAGGAGACAGTGAGGGATAAGGAAGCCTGGCGTGCTGCTGTCTATGGTGTCACAAAGGGTCAGACATACCTTAGCGACTGAACTTAGCGACAGAGAAAAGGAGGCAGATACGTTTCAGAGTGAGAAAGAGCCCGAAACTGCACTTGAGGGAAAATGATGTGTCCCGTGTCTGTCAAGGGGAGGGAGCAGAAGACACAAAGGCTGCTCTTGGAAGACAGAATCGGTGTGCACTCTAACCAAAAAGGGTCACCAGCTCCTGGGCAGGGGACTGGACATGGATGGAAAGTGTTTCCCTGACGTCAAGACTGTACAGTGCGGAAGGAAAAGGGCTCCCCCCTGACTCCAGGGCTGAGAAGCCCCTGCTCTGCTCCTTGCTGACCGATT